TCTGTTGAGTTAGGCAGCCTGCAGCTCAGTCAAGAAATCCCGATTGACTATATAAATTCATAAGTAGCTAAAGCTCAGGGTTTGTAAACATTCTTAGAGAGAAAGTTCAAAGAACTTTCAGCCAGCTGCTCCCTACAATAAACAGAAAGTGCTAGTGATGGTGTTAGAAAGATTTTATTGAATGATGATTCAGGAAAAAAGATAAAAATATGTTTTTTAAGAGAATGGACCCTCACAAATGTTTACAAAAGGAGTCTATTTTTGGTGGTCAGTAAGCCTTATGAGCTTATACTTTGAATTCTCTCTCTCTCTGTCTCTGTCTCTCTGTCACACACACACACACACACACACACACACACACACACTACCCCAAACACAAAAAGATACAGTCATGGTCAAAAACAAGATCTAGTCTCCAAGGACTAGAAGAAAGAACAATATTGCACACAACAATAAATGGGAAGTAAAGCCATATACCTGGTAGGCTCTGAGTCCAGAAAGAGCTAGAAATGACTGGGAGTCTACTCTAATGGGGATCAGAGAACAAATGGACCACAGCTATGTCAGGGAGCTGAAGATTGACTCACTGGGTGAAACCAACTGGGAAGGCAAGCAGAGCTTCCTCACCCACGAGTATAAGGAGGTTGAATAAAGATACAGCAGTTGACCAGAGCGCTGACTCCTATAAGGTGATTCTTTCCTTAGTAAATGGAAATTATGGGAAATCCAGAGAACCCCTTAAAATAAAATTTGAAATAATAACAAGATGATTAAGAACACTGAATATTCAGAAGCACTGATACCAACTAGATATCCTGGATGTGTAAGATATAGTCAGTGAAATAAACACTCTATAGGTAAGATATACTTTAGACTGTTTAAAATCAGAGAGAGAATTAGGAAATTGGAAAACAGCAGAATGAATTCACCTAAAAAGCATTGCAGAAATATGAAAGATACATAGATGATAAATTGAGAGGTACCAACATAAGTCTAGAGACAAAAAGAGAGAGACTAGTAAAGAAGGCCCTTTGAAGAGACAATGCCTGAGAATTTTCAGAATTGAAGAAATAACACCTTCAAGTACAACACAATGAATGTGAAATGAGATTAATTAAAATCAGTTATAACCTAGACACATCATAGAGCAATTGCAGAATATCAGGGATAAAGAGGAAAATATTTTAAAAGCTACAGAGAGACTAAAGACAAATTATAACTAATGACAGAGTAGCTACAGATTTTTTATTTATTTATTTATATTTGGCTGTGTTAGGTCTCTGTTGCTGCGCATGGGCTTTCTCTAGTTGTGGCGACTGTGGGCTACTCTTCATCGCGGTGCACGGGCTTCTCATTGCAGTGGCTTCTCTTGTTGCAGAGCATGGGCTCTAGGCATGCGGGCTTCATTAGTTGTGGCACGCAGGCACAGTAGCTGTGGCTCGCGGGCTCTGGAGTGCAGGCTCAGTAGCTGTGGCGAATGGGCTTAGTTGCTCGACGGCACGTGAGATCTTCCCAGACCAGGGTGTGAACCCGTGTCCCCCGCATTGGCAGGCAGATTCTTAACCACTGCGCCACCAGGGAAGTCCCTAGCTACAGATGTCTTAAGGGCAATGATAGATGCTAAAAGAAAATAAAGTGATATATTCAGAATGCAGAGGGAAAATTATTTTCAACTCAGAATTCTATACCCAGCTAAGGTATTATTTTATTTAAGAGTAAAGGGTTTTTATATTTTCAAACATAAAAATCTAGCAGTGTTTGCTACTCACAGACTGCTATGAAAGAACTTCTAAAAGACATACTTACTTGAGCATGAACCTGGAAGAAGGGTGATCTGAAACTAAGAAGGAAAATACAGAAATAAAATATAGTACAAATTTTCTGTCTCATGAGAAAAACATTCATCATCAGTAAAGCAAAGATTCCAGGCCTCTTTCTTTTTGAACTTGGTCATAATACCTTATATGATCTGCTATGTTATCCATTATAGTCATGTATCTGTTCTTAATGTCTTGCTCTTATTAAATATTTTATGATATCACTAGAAACTGGGAAAAATGATAACAATTAAATATCTATCACTCAGAATGAATAATTCCATCAGTTCTACTAGAAAAGACTACACAAGATTGTAAATCTGCACCTCAAAGTATTTAATCATACTTGCTGATAACATGAGGAAACCTTCACTGTCAGGATTTATTTATATGTATGAATAATGAGCAATTTCTGATACAAGTTTTTAAGGAATCTTTGAATCTGTTTCAGGGGTCCCCAAATCACCCACACGTCCAGTGATTCACTAGGACTCAGAAGCCTCAACATATAGTTGTACCCACAGCTAAGATTTTATTACAGTGATGCAGCAAGGGTATACAGCCAGATCAGTAAGGAAAAAAAGATACACATGAAATCTGGAGAAATCCATGTGCAGGTTTCCTGTGCTCTCTCCTTCTCATGACAGATCATGCAGAGTGCACACTTCCCCAGCAGCAAAAATACAGTCACATGGGGGTAGTGTCTCTGCCCAGGGGAGCCCATTGAAGACTCAAGTACCCAAGGATTTTAATGGGTTGGTTACATAGGCATCCTCTGCCTAGCAACTACTTTTCCTTTCCTGAAATGAAAGCAAGTGTTGAGTCCCCAGGTGGGCAAAATCATCTTATCGCTTAGGGAAGCTTCATGTCAGTACAGGGAACTGTTTACCAGCCAAGTTCCCATATGTCAGCTGAGGGCTAACCTTGCAAGCGGGCCTTTCTAAAATAGCAGCCTCAGGCCTGCTATATTACTCTTTTCTACACAGAGACCTATTTCCTTAACGGTAGTTTTCATTGTTTTTTCCATTACTTTCAAAAGCATATAATTCAATTAACTCTTTCATTTTAGAAAATGTCACATCACTTGGAAAAATAATGACGTCTCTCTTAAGAGAATTTCATTGTAATAGTTACAGTATTTTAAAAAGACAGCTAAAGCTTTGCTTCTTTGAATGATGGATAAATCTGTAATGTGTGCCTAGGAGTTCTTAGGTTCCAACAATATGTATACTGATTATACTCTGCAATCATGATGAGTATGAGAATATATTTTTATAGGGAAAGAAAAGATAATCTTGTTAAAAAAGAAAACCTGGAGAGCGTAAAATATGTTTTTGTGTAGATTTTAAAGTAGACCTTAAGGTTCTAAGAAATAACGTGAAAAAGCATAGGAAGTACATTATATAACTCAATTCTTTTGAGCTGTTTGTTATCCATGTAGCTTCCTAAAAACAAACCACCCCCATCTTTGTCATTTTTAAAAATAATGAGCTGTAAAATTATAATGATTACTTGTGGAAACACAAAAGGAAAAAACCCAATCAGTAATTTTACAGCCAAACAATTTAGGGAAAATAACTAAATGTAAATTAACTATACTTAAGCACACTAGCCTGAGTTATTATTTTGAAGCAAAGTGCACTCAAGAAAATTAACATAGAATGATGGGTTTTATCTTTTATGCTCTCTCTCTAAAATTGATTGTGAATTTCTGTAGCCATGGATCCTGCAGAGTTTTATACAAACACACATCCCGCATATATATGTATTTATATTACTTTGACAATTGGGTGATTATTTCTGCGTTACACTGAATGTCAGCAAATTATCTGACCCTTATCTTTAGGACTAATATCCACCCATAATATTATATTCCTAAGAATTATGTAAACCATATATAAATCATGCAAATTATTATGTAAGTAGAATGTTATTTTACAAGCAAAGATACTAAATAAGGAAGTATGTCACAGAATACGAATTTACTTTATAAAACCAAGGCCAGCAAATTTTATGTAGACAAAATCCAATTGCCCCTTACAGATATGAAGAAGAATCTGTTACCTAAAATTCGTTTTGAAGGATTATCTGTGAATTAAAATTACACATGCTATCTCTCTACCCTGTTAGCTAGCTAATCATATGAACATAATTAACCTTATTTAGACCAGTGAACAATCTAGTTTAGTAGACTGTCTGACTGGAACCAGTGATTTATAGTCATTAATTGAAAGCTAGACCAGTCATACAGTTGTGGGTTTTTCTATTAAGACATTACGCTATTCTGGTCCTTAGCGTGGAATAGACTGATAGGTGGGTTTAACTGAGATGGTTGTTAGCTAGGCGAGTATGATGCAGGAAGTATATAGCTCAAGGAAATGGTCATAACGATGTCCCATGGAAAGCAAGTAGAATAGAAATAAAGGCACAAAAGGTGGTAAAGTCAATAAATTGGATGCCTCAATGAAGATTTTCTAAAAATTGCTGGGTTGGAGGTATTATACTATGTAAAACGGAGAATGGAGGCAGTTGTTGGAGTATGCTTAAGAGTAACAAATATAGGGTCATGGGGGTGGGTAGCTGAAGAGTGGAGAAGTAAAGAACGTTAGAGATGAGGGACTGAGAGAGCCAACATACTGACATCACCTACATGAAGGTTAGTTCCCCATAATAGAGACAGAAGTAGGTGTGAGAAGAAAATATTGATTCAAGTGCTGAAATATTTAGCAACTGAGGGGGAGGGCCTAGGAGATCAGTAGCTCATGGTGGCTTATGGTATATAATGAAATTCAAAGGAACAAGTGATAGTCATATTTGCTTGACAACTTCATAAGATTTTGTGAGAATCAAATGAGATATTGCCTGAGAAAGCACTATAAACCCCTAAGAAAGGTAGTGCTCTGCATATATGAGCCCTCAGTTTCAGCCCTGCTTTGTGTCCCTATTTCTCTGCCTACAAAATAAAGACCAAGATAATATTATTCTCTCCTGCTTCATGAGAAAGTAGAAAGTTTGGCGGCATGTTATATATGAATTTGTTTTGAGTCTTTGGAAAAAGAAGGTCCTTTCGCTGACCGGGGTTCAGAGTCACACCGTTCAGCTTTTGAGTGTCCTCCGCAGCTTGTTGGGACTCCGATGGCACCCTGCATATCACATAACATTCTTCCCTATCTTTGATTTCAGACATTTCAGCAGTCTTCTCTGCAGCACAAATCAAAGAAGAAAAACAAAGGTAAGAAAAGGAAATGAAACATTTAGCTGCTTAGTTTGCACTGGGATAATCACCAGCACAGTTCACCCATCCTCTCTTGCCTGAGCCCAGTGTGGTTTGGAAGAGAACAACCCCCTAGCACAAGAGCTACCAAGACCGGCTTCTCCTTCAGGTCAATTATGATACAAGGTACCTTTTGCAACACATGGTCTCAACAGGTTTTCAGACTGGGATCACGTACTTCAGATTAAATTGTATGTCACTCATGTGGGCGAAAAGGTATTAAAATTTTCCATAGTTTTTTATTCTGATACAAAGAGAAAATAAGAATTTTTAAGGTTGTTAAGTATCCAGACTTATTTTTATAATCTATAGATTAACCTTCTACCTTCACACATATACAAAATTTAAAGAGCATTCTTACCCACTATTATCTTTAGGTCCTATAGCCGGCAAGAGCAAAAGACGAATTTCTTGCAAAGATCTTGGCCGTGGTGACTGTGAGGGCTGGCTTTGGAAAAAGAAAGATGCGAAGAGTTATTTTTCACAGAAATGGAAGAAATACTGGTTTGTCCTAAAGGATGCATCCCTATATTGGTATATTAATGAGGAGGTAAGACAAAGCACATTTTGTTTTCTCATTCATTTTATCTTTAACCAAAAGAATCATCGTTTTGAGACTTACATTTTAAAATCCTATGATCACCTTAAGGCTAATTCAGGAGACTTCTGCTGGTTATTTTTCAGTCTGCCTTCTTAAAATGGTTGCATTGTGGGGTTCTGGAAAGGCACTTGTCTCAATTATTCTAATGTAGCAACATATTTGAAATATAGATAATGTATAGTAAAATTCTGTATGTCGAATTAAAAATACCAAACTAATTCAAGCAATAGCTTACTCAAAAGGATTATACATGGAAATTTGATAAAGATTTTTAAATGTCTTGCTTTTGTTCAAAGTTTTAAAATTTTTTCTGTTTGCTTTTTTGGGAGGAAGTCCTTTAGTAAGTTAAGTAAATTAAATTAATACCACCTGCATTTGTTTCAGTTTTTCTTAAGGAATAAATGAACTAGTAGACTAGTTTCAAAAATCTTCAAGTATTCATTTCATTTGGCCCAATAGGGACAGCAGGGGGAGGGTATATAATACATGCCAATTGTTCTTATGATTTCCTGTTTCATTTCCAGTAAACAGATTTATATCCAGAGTAATTATATAACCTGTCACATATCACAACAGATATACAGTATACCTTATTTTTTGATATTCCCTTAACTCTACATTTGCTTCCTTTGCCATAGCCATCTATCAGTTCACCTTAAGTTTTTTATTTTTTTATTTTTTACATCTTTATTGGAGTATAATTGCTTTACAATGGTGTGTTAGCTTCTGCTCCACAACGAAGTGAATCAGCTATACATATACATATGTTCCCATATCTCTTCCCACCTTAAGTTTTTTAAACAAAAATTTCTATTGTTAGCTTTTTTTTTCATAAAAATGTATGTGGTTTAATGTAGTGTGCTGGCTAAAAACTTTTTGTATGCCAATCAAGTAGTATAAAAACATAACGTCTTTATGTTTCTCTTTATTTTAGATCACTTGTAGATTATTTGCTGAATGCTTTTCTGTCTTTCAGAGTTTAATGGGGAGATCATAACTACCCCAAAAGTATTTTAAATTGTTCAAAATTTTTAATTTTAACATTAAAGACATCAAGGGTAACATAACACAAATCAAAGAGATTTGAGACTATTGTATTTACCCTAAGATTGGAAGAAAAAAATGCTCAAATATTGAAAAATATTGGAAGTTATACTGCTCTTGCATATAACACACACATTTTAGTCACTATCATTAGCATCAAATTTTATTAAGTTTTACATATAAACATACACACACATACTAAAAGAATTGAGAACCCCTATTCTTTTTCTTTGAGATGGCAGATGGGAGTATGATGTCTCTTGAACTTGATATATAAGGAGCCATGAACTGGTACAGCACAGATCAAAGTTTGGGAGTAAAAGTCTGACGAGTTGGCTCATGAACATGAAAGGGACAACAACATTTAAAGGGTTTAGCCAAAAATAATCTTAGCCTAGTTGTAATAACTTGCATCTGATGTAAGATTTTAGATAATTCTCCTGTCTTGTATTCCCATCCCACATTGGGGGGGGGGCATTTTATGGATTTCATTCAGTTTTCCAAGTGAAACATGACTTTTATGTATATATAGCATGTAAACCAAGTCAGATATTTGAAAAGCAAATTAATCTCTTCATTTGTAAAATCTTGAGTACACAAAATAATTATTTAATTCAGGTTTAAGAGATTTTTTTTTGGAGACAGAAAAGGAATTGAATTAGTAAATGTCCCTACATTTTATATCTGAACATTTAAAATGGTAGAAAATTGAATTGTAAATGTGGACTACAGTTATTTTATATGTTATAAATGTGTATGTACATTCTGAGGGAAAAATTACTTATAAAACAGGTTTCACTTTGAGAATTAAAATTTTTTCTATCTTTATTTTAATATAAAAAGGATTTTTAAACATTTCTGTATGTATTTTAATTTGTGCTATTCTAAATGTTCAAAATATACCTTCAATTTAATGGACTATAACAGGTAAGACTGAAATTCTGATCTCTAAAATGTCTAATTTAAAGGATTAAATGAACTGATTTATTAGTATAGATATTTAAGGCATAGTTGTATAGTAGCACCAGCTTCAAACCTTTATATATAATACCCTAAACAAGAGTGTTGCCTCTTTAGGATGAAAAAGCAGAAGGATTCATCAGTCTGCCTGAATTTAAAATTGATAGAGCCAATGAATGCCGCAAGAAATAGTAAGTTGATTTTATTTGGGGCGAGGGAGAGAAAGGAAGGGTAGTTTTGTTTTTTTTTTAATTTCTAGCTTTTAAATTATAGGTTGCTTGTCTAATGCTTTCAAATTGAGGTAATAAGAAAGCAGTTTTGTGGGCAGAAAATTGAATTTTTCACTCATTTCTGTCATCACGGCAGAAGCATTATAATATATGTGAACTCAGATTAGATCTGAGGTAATTTTTATCCATAAAAATTGTTTGGTTCTAACTTATTTCCCAATTTGAAATAAATAAATGTACTCTGTTTCCTTTTGCAGTGCATTCAAAGCCTGTCATCCTAAAATCAAAAGCTTTTATTTTGCTGCTGAGCATCTTGATGATATGAACAGGTAAAGTTACTTAAATTTCAAAATACTTAGAAAGTCAGTTAGGCTTAGATTTCTGTTTTCCACATCAATGCCTAGAGAATAATGTCACTGAAGTTTCTAGATCAGTTTAAAATAAAATGGACCCAGCCATAGCTCCATGTAGCCATACCTAATTTTAAAGAATGGCATTTTAAAAAGTCAAAATAAACTCATTGACTTCTTGTCAAGTTTACCAACAATGTGCCAGAATCCATGTATAGGCCCAAAAAAAAAATCCACTGTAGAAAAAAAAAATTTTTTTAAGTCCACTTCAAGAATATGTCTTCAAATTTATTCCCATGTGAGGAAAAAAGGATACCCACAAAAAAAGCTGACTTTTCGGGCTTCCCTGGTGGCGCAGTGGTTGAGAGTCCGCCTGCCAATGTAGGGGACACGGCTTCGTGCCCTGGTCCGGGAAGATCCCACATGCCGCGGAGCGGCTGGGCCCGTGAGCCATGGCCGCTGAGCCTGCGCGTCCGGAGCCTGTGCTCCGCAACGGGAGAGGCCGCAACGGTGAGAGGCCCAAGTACCACCAAAAAAAAAAAAAAAAGCTGACTTTTCCAAGTGCTGAGTATTTATGACAGAATATCCATCTCAATAACTTAGACATAGGCATAGTTGGTGTATCTCTCTGTCACCTTTCTTCTATCACTGGACAGGATTGTGCAGCCAAGTGATTAGATGGCATGTGGTTATTTGGTGGCCCTGGGAAAATCTGGATATATATTTTTTCATTATCTACAACATACTGCTTCTTGTTTCCATTTTGGCTCTTATGAGTTTGATCCTTTCTTCCTTTTTCTTTCCTTTCTCCTTTCCCTTTTCTAGATTTGTAGAAATTGGATTTAAGATTCAAAATTTTCCCCTTCACAGGTCTTCAGTAGGCAGTGCATGTTAAATATATGATGTGCCAACAGTTAGGAAGACGCAGAATAGCATAGTGGTTAAGAGTATGAACTTTGGAACCAGGCTGTCCAAATTCCAGCCGTCCCACTTAGTAGCTGTGTGACCTTGGATATAGAACTTAACCTCTCTCTGTCAGGTATTAACTCTTTTTAAAAAATGGAGATAATAACCATCTCCATCCATAGAACTTTTATGAGGAGCAAATAAGAACGCATAAAGAGCTTAGAATAGTACCTGCTAAATTGTAAGTGCTATATAAGTGTTGCTTTCAATATATATTCCTTTTATATACTTAGGGTTCTCATGCCTTATAACTTTCTTTGTATATCTCTAAAGAGTTAGTGTTCAAATATTTTTAAGCACAAAATTTTGGAGCTTCATAAATGTGCTTGAACACGCTAAATGGACACTTAATATGCTTTTATAAATAATCTTGTTCTTTGACACTTCAGGGTATAGGCGTGATTTTTCCAAACCAAGGATATGAATACAAGGAGAGGGCAAAGAAAGGTGTTGAGAAAACTTGATAAAATCTTTTATAATTAATAGGAGAACTGAGCCTTTCTTTTATTGAAATATAATTGATTAACAATGTTGTGTTAGTTTCTGGTGTACAGCAAAGTGATTTTTTTATATATTTTCTTTTCTTTTCTTTTCCATTATGGTTTATTACAAGATATTGAATATAGTTCCCTGTGCTATAGAGTAGGTCCTTGTTGTTTATCTATTTTATATATAGTAGTGTGTACCTGCTAATCCCAAACTCCTGGTTTATCCGTCCCCCCCTTCCCCTTTGGTAACCATAAGTTTGTTTTCTATGTCTGTGAGTCTGTTTCTGTCTTATAAATAAGTACATTTGTATCATATTTTAGATTCCACATATAAGTGATATCATATGGTATTTGTCTTTGTCTGACTTACTTCACTTAGTATGGTAATCTCTAGGTCCATCCAAGTTGCTGCAAATGGCATCATTTCCTTCTTTTTTAAACTGAGTAATATTCCATTGTGTATATATACCACATCTTTTTTATCCATTCATCTGTTGATGGACATTTAGGTTGCTCCCATGTCTTGACTATTGTAAATAGTGCTGCTGTGAACATTGGCGCACGTGTATCTTTTTGAATTATGGTTTTCTCCAGATATATTCCCAGGAGTGGGATTTCTGGATCATATGGTAGCTATATTTTTAGTTTTTTAAGGAAATTCCATACTGTTTTCTATTGTGGCTGCACCAATCTGCATTTCCACCAACAGTGTAGGAGGGCTCCCTTTTCTCCACACCCTCTCCAGCATTTATTGCTTATAGATGTTTTGATGATGTCCATCCCTACTGCTGTGAGGTGATACCTCATTGTAGTTTTGATTTGCATTTCTCTAATAATTAGCGATGTTGAGCATCTTTTCATGTACCTATTGGCCATCTGTGTGTCTTCTATGGAGAAATGTATACTTAGGTCTTCTGCCTATTTTTTGACTAGGTTGTGGGTTTTTTGTTTTTGTTACTGAGTTGTATGAACTGTTTGTATATTTTGGAAATTAAGCCCTTGTCAGTCACATCATTTGCAAATATTTTCTCCCATTCCTCAGGTTGTCATTTTGTTTTGTTTATGGTCTCCTTTGCTGTGCAAAAGCTTATAAGTTTGATTAGGTCCCATTTGTTTATTTTTGCTTTTATTTCTATTGCCTTAGGAGACTGACCTAAGAAACCATTGCTGGGATTTATGTCAGATAATGTTTTGCCTATGCTCTCTTCTAGGAGTTTTGTGCTGTCATATTATATTTAAGTCTTTAAGCCATTTTGAGTTTATTTTTGTGTAAGGTGTGAGGGAGTGTTCTAACCTCATTGATTTACATGCAGCTGTCCAGCTTTCCCAACACCACTTGCTGAAGAGACTGTCTTTTCTCCATTTTGTATTCTTGCCTCCTTTGTCAAAGATTAATTGAGCATAGGTGTGTGGGTTTATTTCTGGACTCTCTATTCTGTACCATTGATCCATATGCCTGTTTTTGTGCCTATACCATGCTGTTTTGATTACTTTCACTTTGTAGTATTGTCTGAAATCTGGGAGTGTTATGCCTCCAGCTTTGTTCTTTTTCCTCAGGAATGCTTTGGCAATTCTGGGTCTTTTATGGTTCCATATAAATTTTAGGATTATTTGTTCTAGTTCTGTGAACTGAGCCTTGTATTTGGTTTCCATAATCTTCTCTTGATTTGCATGTTACCATTCTTGAAATTTCACACTAGCCAATGAGAATTTGAAGAGCTTATTCTCAAAATGAAAATGTTTATGTACTTGTTGGGGAGGGGTGGTACTCTATTTTGTGTTTTAACTATTTTATACTTCTACTGTTCTTGTTACTCACTATCCATTTTACCACAATTGAGCTCAATGCCCTTAGGATAATTATGAAGGGTTTACATCATAACCGAACAGAAAATAAGTGGTATATATAATCATGTCCTCTCCTACAAGATAGATCCACTAGAACACAGTTACTTCCATCCAGGAATTAACATAAATTAATCTTTCGTGATACTTGCTAATCAGGGTCTTTTTAGGTTTAGAAAATAGCCTGTTCAAAAATGCATTTTTATGAACTATAAAACCATTCTTGATCTCCATTCTCTACCCTGTGTTAGCAATAACTCAGAAGTGTATGATGTCACTAACTCTTCCCTAATACTCCTGTGGATGTATCTGGTTCAGGATATCAGAGAAGAAGCTAAACCAAACCCATATGTTTCATTTTGTTGCCTTTTCTAAGCAATGGGTCAAAGAAAAAAATAAATAAATCTGATCAAATATGTCATCTCCACATGGTACATTTAAGAGTGCTGTTTTATGTAAGCCTTGCCATGGTGTACTACAACCTTCAGAATTAAATTGTCCTGAAATACTGAGTCTTTCTTTAAAATTTAAGTATAGTGGACTTTTATTGTTTTGCCCGCTTTTTATTTTTTGAATAAGCATATTCCTAATGTCTGCTTTCAATAGGCAAGTTTATTAAAAATTACTTGTCAGTAGGATGGAGGAGAGTCAGTGCTGGCAATATTCACAGAGGATTGGTGTTGGGGAGAGACAGCCTCCAACAACTTTATTTAATAAGCTGATTGTTACATAACAGCAAGATGATGTGGGTGTTGGTTCATTCTATGTGTAGTCCTTTGAAGGCATGTACCTAAGCCTTCAAGAGATGATATAGTTATAAATAATTATAATTATATTATAATAATTATAAATAAATGCCTTACCTGGTTATTTCATAATTTCTAAAATATTATCATATGTATTTTTAAAATGTAGTGCTAGTTTTGACGGGACCTAGTAACTGGAATGAAAAAGCAATCCTTAGATTTAATTTTCTTCTGTAAAATCCGCATGTGTGTATACACATACATACGCACATGCATACATATACCCAAATACATATAACATAGAATATTAAAATCTCACCATCTATTTTTTGAGTAGCTTTAAGTTTGATTGTGAGGTAATCTGCAAAAACACTTTTGAGCACCCTACCACCAATCCATCTGTTCCATCCTCAGAAATGAGCATTGAAACGTTAAAAAAAACTTTTTTGCCAGCCTGTGTGAAATCTGTGGGAAGAAAACAAAACATCATGTTTCTCAAGTATTCTGAGACTTATTTACTGAATTCACTTGGCCTATGTATTCCTTTTCATGTCAGCACATATGTCCTTATAATTGTCAGGACTCACCAGTTTCTGTTTAGTGTGATTATCTTACATTTCTTCCCCAGTTCTTACTCTGGTTTCCCTCTCAGTACATTATTCTGTGTCAGCTGTTGACAGCTTCATTGGAACATTCACCATAGGCCCAATCCTCTTATCCTTAAATATTGTCTGTCTCCCTCACTGAAGATACAGGCATCATGAAAACAGATACTTTGTTTCATTTATCTTTCTCTATCCTCAGTGCCTAGAACAGTACCTGGCACACATTAATATTTCTTAACTCAATTAATGCATATATATCTGCTGTTCATAATAGCATATAAACACCAAACCATAACTGCAGCAAGTGTTTGGATAAGCATCTTCTAACTGAGGCCTAAGGACAACTTTATCCAAGACAGCAACAACAGTTGTGTAGCATTCAGCCTTTTGTGTCTATACATACAAGTTTACGCATACACTTTGTAAAGAGTTTTTATTGGGGACAGAATTTTTCTTCCTAAAAGTAGTTTAATTTTTTAATTGTCTTGTGGAATTTAGGAATCCTGGAGCTCATCAAAGGCAGAAATTATGTCTTATTCATTTTTGGACCCACAAAACGTAGCTCATTGTTCAGCATACAACAGGCATTTAATAAATGTTGTTGAGCTGAAAAATTAAGAAGCCTCTTTTTAGTTTCCTTATTCATCTCATGAAGACCTCACTGCTCTTTAGACTTCTGATAAAATGAAATTTCAGTGATATATTAAAAAGTATTAAATATAAAGTACTGAATTAAAATTCATTAACAAATATTCCTCTAGTGATATCAACATCATTTCCACCCAAAAAGCACCAAGCCAGTCTTTCCTAAGAGTGCTAAGATTCACCTTGTAGTACAAATTCAACCCCTTTCTTACTACAAATGACCTATAGGCTAGATTTTAATTTTGACCTTTTACTAATGATTGGAGTCATTTTTAAAAGGTTATTTGTCATGAAGTTAACTTCTTGACTTACAGTTTATAATTTTCTGGATCATGTGTATATATCATGCTACTGAATTCATTTGATCCATTTTTTTTCCATTTCTGCTCCAGTCCCTTCTTTACTTCCCATAGTTGAGGTGATCATTACATTGTAGGCTTTGTCAAAATAAAGTTGTGCTTTAAGTGACTTATTCTTAAAATTAAAGCTTAAATTTCCATGGATGTGATTTTGTCCATTAGAGAAACAACTTTCCTCCCTCCCTTTTCAAGATATTCTAAGTATCTGATGCACGGTTAACACCACTTGGCATAAATGATGAAATATATGAGTCACTTCAAAGAAAGTCATCTTCCACTTGACAGGGGAGATAATCTCCTAGGAGAAAAGCTTCTCAGACACAGTTTTTTTCCTAAAAACATGTTTCGATCAGATTATTCCACAATTTAATGATGTTAACTATACTAGTGATTCCAAACTTACTCAAGCTAGTTTGGAAGGTTGATTCTTCCTTACTTTCTTATTTGGGAAGATATATGGATCATAGCTCAGGATTGACCAGTGGGAAACTGTCAGGTTAGTTTAAAGATTTTGTGATTTGATAATCTGATGCAGTGTAAACAGTTATCCAGAATAATGAACACAGGGAGAGACCTGGTGGGACAAAAGACAGAGATTGAAATAGTGCTTTGCTTCAGGCAGTTCCCTACATTGGCAATAGCAACTCTTCTGAAAGAGGAAAGAACTAAGATTTATTTCTAAATTACTATTGTTCATGGAAATAAATTTTCAAGATCTAAACAGAGATTAAGATTGTATATGCTCGTTTTGTGTTTGGAAAAACCTAATACCCTTGTATTTAGAGACAAATTTCCAAAGTATACTACTACTGAGCTGTGTTTCCCTTTGGATCATTAAACTTAAAGGAGATTCATCAAAACTAATATTTCATAGTAAAACATATTTTGACAGGCAAGGTCTATAATTTTTTCCCTTCTCAGGACAAATTATATCTGATATTGTTTAAATATCTCTAAAGGAGCATTTGTTCTGAAGAAACGGAACAGCAAAAATATTTGGAGTGCTTTTACATTTAGAGCAACAGAATTAATAGGGCTTTGGTCATCTCAAAACCCTTTATGTTGCAGATGTTAACAGGTTTGCCCAAGACTTTTCTAGTGAAGTAGCATCTTTAGTGTGGGAGCAGTTTGTACTACAGCAAATTATAGCTCATTGAAGACTCCATGTGTTAAGAGTAGCAAAAAGCACACCCTTTATCTGGGATTATTCCATATATTCTTATACATTTTAAAATAACTATTCCCAAGAAAATAGTTAAGTATAAAAAAATCAGTTGCAATGTTACTGACTTTAATATTTGTTTCTTCAGGTGGCTTAACAGAATTAATATGCTGACTGCGGGATATGCAGAAAGAGAGAGGATTAAGCAAGAACAAGGTAAAGGAATACTTTTTTTTTTTACTATTGTGTTACACTTCTTTTTTCTTGCTGTTTTCCTATACAGTGATTCACTGCTATCACTTGAGAGAAAATGTGTATGTCAGTCTGTGGTTATTTCTCTTCTGTTCACTTTGAATCCAAACCATAGCATCTTATGGGTAAGGTTTAGTAAATTAAACAGGAAATAAACTCAAATTTTTGGAGCAGCTAATGTGGAGTTCATTCCTGTTTCTTGCCATCTTCTTTAGTCTACTTCCTATGGAGGAAAAAAATTTTAAAAGCCTAGGGTGGGAGGGAGGGAGATGCAAGAGAGAAGAGATGGGGGGATATATATGTATATGTATAGCTGATTCACTTTGTTATAAAGCAGAAACTAACACACCACTGTAAAGCAATTATACTCCAATAAAGATGTTAAAAAAAAAAATTTAAAGCCTAGAATTTGGTCCTTTATATTGACCCAAGTCAAGGTCCTTGGTGGTGAGTTGTTTTTTCTACTTAGTGGTTTCACAGACATTTAAGTGCTCTTTTATGCAAAGAGCTCAGATGAATGATCCCTTCTTCCATAGATTATCTCATTTGCTTGTGTTCTTCAGTTCTGTTACTTTGTTAGCTCTGTGATCTTATGGAACTTGCCTTAGTATTGACCTCACATTTATGAAATACAGTATCCTGATGCAAAATTGAAATCTTAACAAAAGTTGTGGTCACTATTCTAAAAGTAGCTTCAGGGCTTCCCTGGTGGCACAGAGTATTAAGAATCCTCCTGCCAATGCAGGAGACACGGGTTCGAGCCCTGATCCAGGAAGATCCCACATGCCGCGGAGCAACTAAGCCCGTGCGCCACAACTACTGAGCCTGCTCTCTAGAGCCTTCGAGCCACAGCTACTGAAGCCCGCGCGCCTACAGCCCAGTGCTCCACAACAAGAGAAGCCACCACAGTGAGAAGCCCGCGCACTGCAACAAATAGTAGCCCCCGCTCACCGCAACTAGAGAAAGCCTGTGCGCAGCAATAGAGACCCAACGCAGCCATAAATAAATAAATAAATTTATTTTAAAATAAAAGTAGCTTCACATTTCCCAAAGAATGTTTGCTATACATCCCTTGGAGGCATAAATAGTTCTTTGAAAACTTTTGAGACATCCTGAAGTTAAAAGGATTCCACACATTGATACACATATTTCTAGCTGTGTCTCCAGTGGACATAGCCTGTTGGTCGACGTGAAGAATCTGAAAACCTACTGTTTCGTCACGGAGAAAGCTTTTTAAATATCTCAAAACTAACAGTTAGAGAGATGTAAAGAAGATAACCAGATCCCAAAACCAATCTTTCAGCAAATATTTAGGTCAGGGGTCAGCAAACTTTCTGTAAAGATCCAAATAGTAAATATTTTAGACTTTGCAGGCCTTAAGGTTTCTGTTGAAACCATTCAACTCTGCTATAGACACATGAAGGGAAGTGGCTGTACTTCAATAAAGCTTTATTTATGGACACTGAGATTGAATTTCATAACATTTTTCACATTTTGAAAAATATTCTTCTTTTGATATTTTTTATCCACTTAAAATGTAAAAACCATTCTTGATCCACAGGCTGTATAAAAACAGGCAAAGAGTCTCATTTGGCCTGCAGGCCACAGTTTTTCAACCCCTGGCTTAGAGCCATGGGGTGAGAGAATGGGGGTGACTAGAGCAGTGAAGGGTGAGGAGATAGGGCAGGAAGATTTCCAAGAAATAGCAAAATATGGTTACTGCCGATGGGAATTCAGCATCTTATTGAGACTCTAAAAAATTCACACTTGAAACTGCCTAAGAAAAATTAAAGAGCAACATAAAGTAAATGAGTACTAATTTTTGCACCACATGCAACTGATTTAAAAAATTGCTAAGTGGCTGCAAAATTTTTTTAAAAACCTGAGAAGGAGTCAGGATTAATGAGGAAATACTTGGAGAAAGTAATCAGTGAGCCTCATATAAAGTTAGCGGTGAAGAGGCAGAGAAGATATTTTATTAAATATTAAAGTGTTTCTGAATAAGGCCTTCAGCTAACACTCTAATTGTATTAAGGTGAAATAAGCACCCATCCTGCCTGAAATTACATTGAATTCTAGTAGAAAAGATACTCTTAGTACAATATGGAAAGTGAAACATGGGAAAGTACAAAGCAAATTCCATGGGAATGAGGCTAGAGATTCCTTCTAGGAGGGAAATTGGAAAAAAACATTATGTGGACTCATTATCTGAACTGGTTGTCGCAGGATGAGAAGTAATAAAATAAAACATTCCTGGGAGTGGAAGCAGCATGAGTACTTCCACAAATAACATGGAAACCATCTCTATCAAATCACTGTGCACAGGCAAATCCCAGCCAGGACTATGAAGTGTCAGGCCAGTTATTGTCACATTTCTTCATTGTTAAAAGTTTATTCCCCACTTTCATACTTCTACTTAATTTATAGGCCTACAATTATAGTAAGAGAGCTAAATACACAAACACACACACACACAACACACACACACACACACCAGCCTTCCTTTTCAAATTATAAAGCATGAAAACTGTTCTTTAAAAGTGCATATAGATTTCTCAGTTTTTTAAGATGCAAGAATTAGAAGTGTGGGCAATGTGCCAATAGGAGAATGAATCTTGAAAAAAGTCAATTTGCATGAATAAGGAACGTTGGATTTTCAGGCTTCTGTATTTTATCACTCGGCATTTCTTTGAAGCTGAGCATGGCCTTGATTTTAGTGGATTTCCTTTGTACTTGTCATTATATAACCAAATTTCATTATGGATGAAAGAACTGGTAAGTCATATTGCACATGCACGTTCCAAAAAATACTCATTCCATGGATTCATGCTGCCATAGTCTGTCATGTGAGTATTTATTTTAGTGCCTACTGGAATGTGGTAGACAATCATAGGTAGAAGCTAATAGTTACAGTTCAGGTCTCTACAGCCAGAATCTCTGAAATAATTTAGATTTCCACCTAGAGTATACATTCATCAGGTACTCTAACGTAGGTCAGAAACATATTAGACTTCCTACCTTATGCAGGATTAGGTCTTACGTATTCTGTATAGACAACTACTGGATGCACGTGTCTATTCCACACTTCTGTAGAATTGTTTGACATCTAAGTACCATTCTCAGTAGGGAAGTTTAAACTTGATACAAAATATAGCTCTTTGAGAATTGGGAATATTTCAGAAAGATGCAAAGGAATAACTGCCAAACACTGTTTCCATTTAAATACTCAGTACAGCTTGGAAGTGACTCTTTCATTGACTTAAATAAAAGTTTAGTGAATTGCTGTCTTTAACTACAGAAGTATAAAGGATATGGGGTTCTTTTTCATTATGCATTGTTTTACTTAGAGAAAACAGGGTTACAGTAAATTCTGCCAAGATCATAATTTAGCTAATTGTCTGCTAATCATTTTTCTATATTTTTCCAGCTTCAAATCAGACATTCATGACACATTATTTTCAGTCACACACAAGGTCTTTGTAAAGCTTTAATTACATAAAAGTGAATGAAATACATTGTATTTCTTTGATAGTTCTAGATGAAAAAGTCAATTTCTTTCAAATTATCCTTTTGTATCAACATGAGAAGTAAAGTGGAAATTTTCCTCTTCTATTGATGGCACTGTTTATTCATGATTAGTTACTTGTAAAATTGAATATCACTGCAAGAGACATTAAAAGTATCCATTTATTTTGTGCTAAATAGAGAGCTAAGAAAAATAAATTAATTTGCTCTTAGAATGAAAATCAGACTGGTTTCAGCCTCTGGGAAGCAGTGTGCCTGTAATTTTCCACACAAAACCAAAATGCCTAAATTTTCTGTGTAGCCTCTTCCCTGGCATTGCTCTCAAAGACACATGGGTTAGTGTGTGAAATGAAGTTAATTTGCAAAGTGGTATTTCAGCCTTTTCTTAGGCAACCCAAGAAAACTTTGGTTTGGTGGTGTTTTTTTCTTTAATAAACCAAGAATTACATCAAATAAAGGATTAGAATTCTTCCTAATTTAGCGGGGGTTGTGGGGGGCTGGGGGGGAGAGAGAGAATCTCCTAAATCTGTCACTTGTAATAATAGCTATAAAGATCTTGATAAAATGGTGATCATCTCCCTCTCAGTGTGCTGACAGGACCCCTTGAGGAGCTAATTCCTTGAGACCCAAGGTCTCAGTGCAAAGGTGAAGGGGGAACTCAGCACAGGTCCCATAGTTTCTGGAAATAGTGGGAAGGGTGAGAGCAGAGTGATCTTCACAAGCCTACTGCTTGGGAGCAGGGTGAGGGGGTGCTTGGTACCTCCACCTCCAGCAATAATTTCTCAGTAGTATTTCAAGCTCCCACAAAACTACCCAACTGAGACCCCAGAGCTCCAGAATTCACTTTTCATTGCTGGAACTTGCTACAAGAAAAAACTAATGTCTAAGAAGATGAACACTAGGCATTTATCTCCTGCGTGATCTGGGTCAGACTGTCCTGGCATACCTACAAATCCACCCAATATTAGGGACCTTAATATTTATTGAGTGCTTTCAAGATGCAAGGCGCTTGAATATACATTACCTTAGTAGTCCACTCACACAACTCTGAAAGGTGGTTATTATTAGCCCCCTTTTACAGATGATAAGACAGACTCAAAGAGATTAAGTAACTATCACAAGAGCACAGAAATGGTAATTGGTACAGCCAAGCACTGAACCTACATCTGCGCGAGTATATAGTTTATGCTTTTCCCACCAGTGTTTACTGGGTCCATTTCTGGGCAACTACATCAATTCATATTTGAGGGGAGACTTAGTATGCTGCCCATCACTGGTGTGACCCAGTGTAAAAACCAGATCTCAAATTTAGGTTAACTAGTGTTTGCTTATCCTTTACTCAAAGGGAATAATTAAAGTAGGACTTGGATTTTCAGAGACCTTGTATTCTGAGGCCTGAATATAATAATCTCCATTGCTAAAGAATTTTGAGCAGCAGGAGGAGGGGGACTTGAAGGATCATGAGTATATGTCACATTAAATTCTCCCGCTAAGTCGTACAAAGAGTCCCAGTGACTTGGCCCTTCGAGGCTTAGAGCAAGGCAATTTCTTAGTTCAAACCGCAGTTGTACTACTTTCTGTTTGGCATATTATAATAAGTACTCAGTAAATATTAGCTGTACTTATTAATCAGCACCACAAGGAAAATATATAAAAATATTACAATATGGGAATTCCTGGGTGGATAAGGGTACCTGTAAAAACATGTGCCATGGGGCTTCCCTGGTGGCGCAGTGGTTGAGAGTCTGCCTGCCGATGCAGGGGACACGGGTCCGTGCCCCGGTCCGGGAGGATCCCACATGCCGCGGAGCGGCTGGGCCCGTGAGCCATGGCCGCTGAGCCTGCGCATCCAGAGCCTGTGCTCCGCAACAGGAGAGGCCACAGCAGTGAGAGGCCCGCGTACCGGAAAAAAAAAAAAAGTGCCATGATTTTTCACCTACATCTGAATATAAGTTAAGGTTCTTTTGTGATTTCGATTTTCATAAGAATAAGGAAACTTTTCTTTTATCATTTGAAATTCATATGGATAATAGTTCTAGGTTTTTCCTTGTAAATCACATAAAGAATTAACCCAGCAGTTACAGGGTGGTTGAGATATTGGTAGAACAGATTCTGATGATTGGCCTTTGTGGTGTAGTTTACTTACTTGACTAATGTATCTCTCGGAGTTTTTCCCCTTCCCTCTTGCCTGAGGTCTGCCAAGTCACTTTGTCTAGCGGCTTACATTTTCTACCCTTTTAAGTAGTTCTAGAAGTTTGGAATTTACAGCCCACATCAGCAGATTTGCCCTTTTGCGTTTGGCAAGAATCAGGGCTTGCCATGTGTTTCCAAGTAGAGGTGGGAGTATGGTGTTATAGAGATTCATGTCAGCATGACTCTGGAAACAGCGACTGTTAGATAACCAGTGAACTGAAGCCACAGAAGAGGATTGAGAACATTATTTTTGAAGCTGTTTATACCTGTAGAGATCTACAGCAACCTATGTATTTCTTCTTTGAGTGTTCATCTTTAGGATAAAATGATACACCTCTAAGAGGCATCATGTGACATCATTCATTAATTGAAGCTTTAAGTAATTTGGAATCTAAAATACCCTAAACCTTATTTGACTTATGCAGTGTCTTTGTCTTAACTCCTTTTTTTTTTGACGATGACAACAGAGCAAAATTTAATTTGTAGTGTTTGCCAATTTCCATGGTATAAATACTCCCACCACGGCTGATTCTGAACTCCGAATGCAATATCAACCATTGGCAAAATTCCCGAAAATTTAATAATCAGCCTTCTCAAGCTGTGACAAGTCAGCTCCAGCACCCCACTGGAGGCATATTGCCATACCTAAAATTGTGGCTATGTGTAATTGCTTGCTTTAAAAGGAGGCTGGAATTAGGTGATTGTACTCTTCCTTCTCAAAACCCAACTGAAAATGAAAGTTGGTGGGCCTGGAGTAGCGAGTGCTGGGGAGCAGGGTGCCGGAATGGAATTTAAACTTCCTTTTGTTAGCTGGTAGTGTGTGTTCCTGAAAATATGGCTAGAAACTTTTAACAGAATGTTGATGTATCCATGTGTGTGAATTTTCAGATTACTGGAGTGAGAGTGACAAGGAAGAAGCAGATACTCCATCAACACCCAAACAGGACAGCCCTCCACCCCCCTACGATACATACCCACGGCCTCCCTCCGTAAGTTGCCAGTAGGAATATACTCAATATAGCATCAGATTCTTTGACCTGAGACATTATGTAGTGAATTACATGTCAGACCTTGGGGTTTTTAGGGGCAAAGAAAACAGGGAGTCTAAAAGCAATAAGGGAAAAAAATTTTAAGTATACAAAGAATATTTAATCAGGAGAAGCAGTCACCACAGATTCCACACTAGTAAGTATCTTACCAGTTTTATTAAGAAAACATACCATTTGTGTCAGAGTAGCCTTCATGAAAATATCAACAACAAAAAAGTTTTCTTAGAAAAAGATATATAAATTGACCTTATCTATTCTACACTAACAAAGTTAATTCCTATGTCCTTTAGAAGCAATTGTAAAAATTTATATTATATCTGTATTGAACATGTTTTGGCATGTAGCTTTTCAGGCAGCCATGGGGTCTGGTTTAATGTATATGTGTTTATGTGATGCTCTTCTTCTTAAGACTTCTTAAACCTGTGTAAATTATTCTGTGTATAGACTGTACCTTGATCTTTACAATTGTCCTGGTTTGTTTTATGCCCATTTCCCATCAGAATTACCAAAAGAGTCTCGATGCTGTCCCATTTTAGGCAATACATTGCATGGTCACTGTACCATAAGAGTCAATTCTGCCTGTCTTGAGACTGAGTCTTCCAAACAGGAAATGGAAGCTGGATTTAAGTGACAATAGCAGCCACCTAATTCTACCTCCTTATTACTACAGGGGATTTTTAACAAGAAAGGTGCTATGCAAGATGTTCATATAATTCTAGGCCACTTCTCAACCTTGGCTGTGCATGAGAATCACCTCTGGAATGTTTTAGAAATGCAGATGCTCAGGCGTCATCCAGAGATATTAAATCAGAATATTTGGGACTGCAAACAGCTCACTGGACTGGACTGTGAACTTTTTGAGAACAGGGACCCCGTTCTGTTCACTGTACATCCCTATGGCCTAGCACAACACTGGTACTTATTTATTAAGTGCTCAATACATATTTCTGAAATGAATGAATGAATACTTTTGGCTAAGGACTAAAAGGAAAGTCACATTTTTAATTGAAATGTTTGATGACAGTATCTCTTATCTAAGGGAAAAAGGAGAAAAGTAGACAGAAATGCAGAATTGTTCCTCTCCGTATACACATTTCATTAATAAATGCTGCAGTGTACCAAGTGCAACAGACAAATGAAATAATGAAGTCAGTAACAAGATATAGTTTATATCATATTTTCCCTCTTTCCCTAAAACATCAGGGTCTAAATAGTTCCTTTAAATATTTGTAAACGTGGGGGAAAGGGAAACTGCAGCTTGACCAAACCGCTCTTTAATCATAGCAACTTGTGAATTTCAAGAAGGAAACTACTCACATTGTGATTAACATGTGGGAAGATAAACTGGCTGCCCACAGAAGATGCCACTTAACTTCTCCTTTACCCAGAGGGGAAGGTGTACTTTCACCTTAGTCGGGCTTTTCCTGGCCACAACCTCAGCCTCAGTCGTAGTGATCACATCTAACAAATCTGGCTCCTCCTGCCAGGAAGGGGCCTGGGCTGGTCTGCTAGCCCCCAGAGCTAGAGTAAGGCTTGTCCCAGTAAGGGTGCCTGCAAGACTTTTATAGCATTCACTTGATGCCCGTCCTTTTTCTTGGTTGTGCTTTGTGCTGTAACATATATTCCCAAACTTTAAATTCCAAGGATAAGAATATTCCATTTTTCTTTTGTGTTTATGTGCTTTGAAGTGGCTATGCTCAAGGCAAATGCTAATTCCCATCAGGGTGTAATCTCATCCTTTCTACATTTTTAACTCTCTAGAAAGTGCCACAGAACTGACAAGACTGTAAGAAAGCTTATTCTTGACACTCTAAGAGCAGACATTCACCTATGAAGAAGAGGAAGGCTTGTGTCCGATTAGAGGCACCTTGTTTTTACATCCAAAATCCTGTCTCCTTGCTCTCATCCCCAGACTCCATAACATCTGGAAATATGAATTTGGCAACAATTCAGGATTTTGAATGCATAGAGATTTCAAAACTTAGGATTTTTTTGTTTTTAGTTGCTAAATATTTCTTACATAGGCACTCACGTTGCCTTATACTTTGCTGTAAAAGTTTGCACTAGTATGTCACATTTTTCATGAGAGCCCAGCGTAGCTGTATTTCTATACATTCACGTTTCAGTCTCTTAAAATGTCAGCTGGGGCCTAACTTTGAGATGGTGGAAATCAAATGTGTTCCTTGGTGATAGGCATGGTCTGTTATTTCTGTGGAGACTGATCAGAGGCTCCTTTCCACAGATGAGTTGTGCCAGTCCTTACGTGGAAGCGAAACACAGCCGGCTCTCCTCGACAGAGACCTCTCAGTCGCAATCATCCCATGAGGAGTTTCGCCAGGAACTGACTGGGAGCAGTGTGGTGTCCCCCATTCGCAAGACAGCCAGTCAGCGCCGCTCCTGGCAGGATTTAATCGAGACGCCCCTGACGAGCTCAGGGTTACACTATCTTCAGACTCTGCCCCTGGAGGATTCCGTCTTCTCTGACTCCGCGGCCATCTCCCCAGAGCACAGGCGGCAGTCCACCCTTCCAACTCAGAAGTGCCACCTACAGGATCACTATGGGCCGTACCCCTTAGCTGAGAGCGAGAGGATGCAAGTGTTAAATGGAAACGGGGGCAAGCCTCGAAGTTTTACTCTGCCTCGAGATAGCGGGTTCAACCACTGCTGTCTGAACGCGCCGGTTAGTGCCTGTGACCCGCAGGATGACGTGCAGCCCACAGAGGTGGAGGAAGAGGAGGAGGAGGAGGAGGAGGAAGGGGAGGCAGCAGGGGAAAACATAGGAGACAAAAGTAAGTATGCCGATGGAGATTCTCAGCCTGTATACACACATTCCTAACCTTTTCAAACTTCTTATTTTAAGAAAATAGAATTCTGTTTCCCTTTTTTCTTAAAATAATGGTTTTGCTGCATAGGAAGTCAGGTATCCCTTGGTGTCCCACTTTCAGAACTTGAGTAACTTGGGGGAAAAAAAGATGAGTAATGAAGCCTACATCCCAGGACACCCACAGCTAGAGCAAATAGTTTTTTTTTTGGCCCATCTGCCTTTTAAGGTTGATGGCATTCATTTGTTTTGCTTCCTCCTCTTATCCACTTTCTTTTCACTTGCATGCATCATCCCTTTGGTCCACAGTTGTTGCCCCCTGAGTTTGGGTTCAGAAGCTATAAATGCTTCAAGCAGGGTGTTAGCAGAACCTTGGTTGAATAAGTAAGTGAATACACATACACACACTCACACATACATACATACATAACTTCCCTTTTCACCATGAGAAGGTTGAAAGGAAAAATCCAAAAGAATTTTTCGAAGAAGAAATTTTACATAGCATTTCTATCAACTTCAAATAGCAGAATATGTTTCTAGAAACCAATTTGCCAAAAGCATCCATTTACTTTCTTGGTATGTATGTTGATTGCAAAGCTCAATTTATGTGAATCAGCTCTTGAGAGAGACAAGTCATTAAGTAACCCTCTGACTGGCATTAAGAATATGTTTACTAGTTATCAAGTTATTTGTCCAACATGCCATACCAAGCTTCTGTTTATAACTAATGTGATATACCAGTCCAGAAACCCAAGCTAGTTTAAGAGAAAGGCTATAACTCAGTTATTTTACTTAGAAAGAAAATCTAGTTCTGGCTATAAGAATTGAATATAAAATACCCCCAAAAATAGTGTCGAAGAAATAGTATGAAATCTCTTTATTCAAAATGAAGTATGGGCCAATTAGTGCAGATGACCCAAGCTGGTGCTGATGAAACAACAGTTACTGCTTTGGTCCCACGAGGGCATTAGACTTCTCTTTTTAAAGGATACAAACAGACTGTGTCCTTCAGCCCATTTCACACAGTATGGAGACTTTGATTACAGGATATGTTAGTGTAACTTCTTCATCACAACTGGGAAAACAACTCAAATCTCACAGGTTACCAGCAGGTCAGGAGCCTCATGTCAATTTGAAGCTTGTATCATTTAAAATGAGGGTTACTTTGGAGATAATCGACAAGAAAATACAGTGGACCTTTTCTACTATCAAAATATGAGTTGCTTATAATAAAATTCTTATGTTAAAGCAGTTTCCATGTAAAGTATATTTTAGCCATAATCTCCATGAGGAGCCTTTTAAAAGGTATACTGTTGGTTCAGGAAAGGTGATTTACCTGCCACGCCCTCACGACATTCACATCTATTAGAAATTATAGAAGAGTCTTGTGGAGGAAAGATCTAGGAACCATGTCAGGCCTCTGTAGGAGTTCTGGCAAGCACGATAATATATTTTTAATATTAAGAAGATTAGTATAAGTTGTTTTCTAAAACTTAAATAAGGATGAGTTAGAAACCTCCTTTCAACTGTTGTCCAGGTTCTGCACAACTGCTACAACTAAGCATGTGAGGTTTATTCAGCATTCTACAAACGCATTGGGGAAAATACTTCATCTCTGGCATTTTAAAATAAATTGTGTTGAAATTAGGCACAACCCTCTGAAATAGAGAATCCTGTTCATGACACATTCCATCATGGCCACGGGTACAAGTCTTTGAGGCTGTCTTTTTCAACTGGCTAGATACTTAGCAGTTCCTCCTGGGCATTGTGTAGGGAGGACTAGAATGGAGAATACGTGTCCTAGGACCTGAAAGGCAAACCTAGCCCTGGGCTCGCCCTTCCTTCAGGCTCCACTAGCCCACAGAGCATCCCTAGTTAGATGGCGTTCGATTATTTTTTCTTCTAGTGTCTGTTTTTTGCTGTTTTGTTGATTGGATGTATTTTTAGCCATACAGATGTACTCCCAAAGTTGGTGGGTTTTTCCTTTAGGTTCCCGAATAAGTCAAGTGGGCAGTTATTCAATACTTTCCATCTTTTTCAGCAGGCTCTCTCTTTGTGGAATGATTGCGGTAAGGCAGAACCACCCTAGAAGTGTGTCGGTAAACTTGGTATTATTGCACATTCTGTCTTTGCGGTTCGATATCGTGGGGTAGTTCGCGTTATTTCAGTCTGATCTGTTTCACTAAAGGTGACCGTGCACTATCTTGCAGGGCCCCATTTCTTTCTGGGTATTTTTCTATAATCTTGCCACTTGATGTCTCAGTGTCCTTTAAACCATTCTCAACAGGGCAGTACGTTTCATGCTTGCCTGGAAGATGCTTCTTAACTTAATGGGGTACATGTTCGGCTTCCCAATGATGGTTTTTCTGCATTACTGTTTCTAATATTTAGGAGTGTGCAATTTGATGAGCACCTCCTTTGGGAAATATCAGCTCTAAAATCAGTGTTTTCAAAAGAATCTTCAAGGTCTAGTTAAGGAGTGTCTTATTCATGACTGCCCTGAGTCGGCCATTAGGAGTAAGTATTCCAGGCTGCTTATTCAAATCAAGCTGTTTGGTGTTCTGTCAGGAGAGTCAAAATTATACATGGGAAAGAAGCTGTGGCCATCCCCTCAGCCTCACACTTAGAGCGTGCCCTCCGCCCGGAGCTCTCACTGTGCTACCGCTCCGGTCAGCAGGCTGCCGTGCTTGTTAGAATCAAAGACCAGCGGCGGTGTGTTACTAACTGTCCTGCTCGAGGCCAGCATGCACTGTGACCTACTAAAGTGAATCTGCACTAATCAAGTACAGACCTGCAGAGCAAATAAGTTTCACGTCCCTAGCTCCAAACATGTTTCTCAGTTTGCCAAGAAATTAAAAATAGGAAGTACCAGGCACGTGAGCAGAAGGAGCCATGGGAGAAAATATAGCTTCTCTTCAGCTTTAAGGGTGAAGAATTATGGCACCAACCAAACCCCTCTCGTGATCTATATTATATAGTGCTTATGAGTCTACAGAGCAATCTAAGAAGCAAGATGTACCTAAATCTGTGACCTAGATGTTTTTTCATTTTCTTCGTACAGGTGGAATTTGGCCCTGCTTACAAGGTGTAAATTTAGTCTTCTTTAGAGCATACTTCAGTCTACGTTCTCATGGTTGAACTACCTTTTGTCTTATTTTTGAAATTCAATTCTCTAACCGAGTCATACTGTGATTTTTCTGAGGCTGAACTCATTTTAGTCTAAAGTGGATGGTACTAAAAGTACACAGATGAGACCTGTTGTGTTTTCCTTTGACAGAAAAGTCAGCTTGAATATTAATTATCCTGACCTACTTCACTGGCATTTGGGAGAAGACAACTAATTTCCTATTATCCCAATTAGCAGTTTCGAAGCTGACTGAGGTATAGGCCTTATAATACCTCAGTGAAATTAAATTATAAATTATGTCAGCCTACGCAGCTTTCAAGGAGTATAAATCATAAAAGTGTGGGACAAAATATAAAGATATTATATTTATTCTTTATTCAGAAATCATCTGGCATAACACTAAAATACGGTTTTGGTTAATGCAGCTTGAGGTCTGCTTCTAATAGTTCTCCTTCCTTTGCCATACTAGGCAGTTTAGATGAGGTTTTTGAAAGCTTTATCCCTTAATCCTGCTGATTTCCCTCTTGGCAGTTAAAAGACTACTCTTTACTAGCCATGCATTCCTGGTGCCACCATGTACTCAATGAATTTATAATGTGCTCTTTTTCATTGCCTTAGGGATAACCTATCAGCATTCTTACTTAATTTACACATTTATTAGCTTGGTCTTAGAAATCTAAAGCAAAACCTAGGTTGTTTTTTTTTTTTTTTAGGGGGCCGAGGGTGGGAAAGATAAAATGTTACCTAGTAGCTACAGTACATATCAGGTTATCTGGCTAAAATATTTACTGATGCTTTCAAAATGAAATCTGCCAAGAAATGTATTTTAAATTTATTTTCTTAAATCTAACATCCATTGCACACCATTGGTAACTTAAGAGCTGTACAAAATGTGCAGCTCAGTGCCCTAATATCTTAAATTATATAGGCAGAGAGGCTAGATAATGACTACCAATATCGTGCAGAAGAAGATAGATTAATCTTCTTCAGTCATTTTAAGGGTCTTAGAGTAATTTCCTGAAGAGTTTCTAAAAGCCATGAGTTTTATTTTTAAGAACATTCATGTAGGAAGTATGTGGGCAACGGTAAGATATTCCCAGAATATGAAATTGTGTTAAAGGAGAAAAAGGAGCAAGCTGAAAATAAAGAAAAATGTTGCAGCACTTTTTACTGTTTTATTTATTGTCTAGATAAATTATGTTCAAGCACGAAGAGTTTGGAAGAGCATAATCATCAATAATATCTGAAATTATAGTTCAGGTCTAAAGGGAATAGATGGAAAAGATATACAAGCAATGTGAATAAAAAGACATGCACCAAAAAGACATGCACCAAAAAGTCAGAGAAAGCATAGTAGAGAACCTTAAATGTGTCACTTTTGTGAAGTTTAAGGGCACCATTCTTGGCGGTTATGTAGCAAGTATATATTTTTTTAAAATGGAAAAATCTGGAAAGCAGTAAACAAATATTCTCTTAATACTGTATTGTCTGATTTTGAAGAAAGATTGTTAGGGAGACAGAAAACACTAAAGACTGGATATAAAGTAGAATGTAGCTATAATTTCAATATTGGTTACAGGTTGGATTTTTTAATCACACCTCCCTCGCTTTTTGGCTTAAATAATGAGGAAAAGGTAATTATCTAACTTACTGAAAGTTCAGAGGTGGGGTTGTTCTGGAGTAAATGTCATGGCTCTGCAGTGTCAGGACTCAGTTAACTTTTCTGTAATGCCAGCAGCTCTGAGCATCACTTCTCATAAGATAGCATCCAAAAGAGCCAAAGACCAGGCCCTATTCTTAGTCCTTTTTGTAAAATCAAAACTTCCTGGATCCTTCTGGCAGACTTGGCCCTAGATTTCATTGGCCAAGGCTGCATCATATGCCCCTGCCTAAACAGCAAGGGAAATGGAATGATTATGAGTTTAGACTAACCTTGATTTGTTATTAAGATCATGAAGAAAAGGAGTATACCAGACTGCCTATCATTACTATCTACATGAGCCTCTCTACTATTATGTATGTTATATCCTCAAATATATTTGTTCCAGTAATGTTTCACTCTTTCAGTGTGTATATGCAAACACACACCGCACATCACATCATTTAAAAGTCTTGGCCCTAACGAAATGTTAGATAACAAAAGGGGGGTATAGGGCTTCCCTGGCGGTGCAGTGGTTGAGAGTCCGCCTGCCAATGCAGGGGACACGGGTTCGTGCCCTGGTCCGGGAGGATCCCACATGCCGCGGAGCGGCTGGGCCCGTGAGCTATGGCTGCTGAGCCTGCGCATCTGGAGCCTGTGCTCCTAAATGGGAGAGACCACAGCAGAGAGAGGCCCGCGTAAAATAAAAAAAAAAAAAAAGAAAAGAAAAGAAAAAGAGGGGTATATATTATATAACCCTGAAAATACAGCAAGTTAGATATAATTATTGTTGACCTTTGAAATGAATAAGCATGTTTTCCTATAAACACTAAGTGATCAGAGGTTAGAATACAGTCTCTGGAGACATTCCTCAGTTCACATCCTTGCTTCCAAGTGGTATGACTGATCAAATTATTTAACACCTCTAGACCTCAATTGCTTCGTTGTTAAATGATGTGGTAACAGTACCTACCTTTTGAGGTTGTATGGGAATCAAATGAGGTAATGCCAGAAAGCACTTAAGTTTCCATTTCTGACACTGTAAGTCTATCCAATAAATGTTTTATAATTATGTAATTTATGTAGATTTCATACAGATTTGGATTTAAGCAAAAAGGGCAATTACAATACTTAAATAGTGAATTAGTCCTGGCAAACCTCACTCAATAACATTTACTTGACTACATGACCTAACTTTGTTCAGCTCCAGCTACTGAGTTGAACCATATAAATTGATGTTTTTGTAGCTCAAAATGATGAAATATCAACAATTTTGTATGTTTCAACACAATATATTAGCTGTGCTCTAGGAGCTAAAATAGAAATGTCCCTCGTTTCACATTATTATCACTCACTCTTCCTTTCCTTTTTGACTTTGGACATTTGGGAACTCAAAAGAAACTTTGTATTCCAAATAGTAATAACCTTCTCATATGTATCTACTGAAATATGTATTTATAGACCTTGCCATTCAGGTTCAGATACTTTCCCCTTGGAGAGTTCTACCCTGACAACCTGGTCTGACCTAGATGCCCCTTCTCCCGCCTACCCCACCACTATTCATCCTTGAGTATGTTACCCTGTTTTATAATCTTCACAGCTTTACAATTTGTGTATAATATCAAATATTGTTTGCTGATTTATTTTCCATTTCCACTCACCAGAGTGTAAGTTTCTTAAGAACAGGGATTTCATTCCTGTCTTGTATACCCAGTGCCTAAAACATTATATGGCCCATAGTAGGCCAGGCACTATTGGATGAATGAGTCAGTGAGTGAATGAATAGTAGCTAAACCCTTTTATCACTTATTCTTTTCCATTTTATTATATAGTAGTTAAAGCTAAAGTTATTTTTTTATTCATTGTGTGACATAAAGTCAAAACATGGCAAAATTCTTTATCTGGGGTATTTTGTAAAGGGAAGGACAGGACTGCATGTGTTCAGCATATCCTCTTCAGGCTGGGTACCACAGAGCTAGGATACTAATAACTAGAATCACTGCTCTTTGTATTATGGCTCATTTATAGTCACTTTCTCTATGCTGAAACCATTCTTTTACTGTTTTATTCCCATTTCAAAGATGAAGGCCACAGAATATGACATGTGAGATAAGCAATTCATTGTTAGAAACTGGATCTTCCAGCACCCCTAGGCAGTTGATTTTCCTACCAAAATCTGCTGCCTATCGAAGGAAGTCTGGCTCCCTCAGAAGTCACTCATCACCTAGCTTCATCCTGATTCATTTGTAAAACGTGTTGAAATTGCAACTTGTACTTTAACGAATAACCAATAGCCCGCATCAGCCAGGAAAATATTTTCAGAAGTTTTATAATAAGTAATGAAGCCAGATTCAGTTAGCAAAAGAATGAATTCTAGATGCTACAGAGACATACCAGCAGAAGATGTGGACAGATAAGAGTTAAAGCTCACATAAAAGGATGACAACCCCTCACCAGTATAGGTAAGAAAAGTTATGATTTACAGTTTGTTTTACCAAGAAAGATGATTAGATTCAGCCATACTGCTACTTGTTACTATTTTCACACATCTAAAAGGCAAACCACTTCCTTCAGATCAGTGGTAGCATACAGTCAGTTTCTCAGCAGAGTTTGTTCTAGCTCATTGTATGAGAACCTGTTCTAAGTTTAGACTCCTTTTACCTTGGTCACCCTTGCCAGAGAAAGCTGAAGGTCACAAATGCCTCCTTTTTTTCCCTCTACATATGAAGTCTACCTCCTATGGTTACCAACTACTGGAAGATTGTAGGTTAAAACATAATAGGAATGCACCATAAAACACGCCTTGGAAGTTTTTAAACTTCCCTGCATGCTTTTCTTTTATTGTTTAATTGAAAAGTAGTGACTTGCTTGTTGCTAAATAAACAAGCTAATTAATTAAAAAAACAGTGATGAAAGTGAAAAGCAACCCTCTCTCCTTCATTTTCTCCAGAGGTAACTTCTGTTAAAAGTTAAAGCTTTAAAAATTCTTGTATGAATTTGTTTTTCTCATATGTCTTTTTCCTGTAACTCAATGTGAGTAGCGAGGTGAGGTATGGTTTAGTCGGTTTCAAGTTAGTGTATTTCCTCAGAAATTTTTTTTAACATCTTTATTGGAATATAATTGCTTTACATTGTTGTGTTAGTTTCTGCTGTATAACATTTTTTGATGTGACCTTAGTTTATAATATAAGCAGCAGTCTTGTGAGATTATTTACATACCACCTCAGAACCCAGCCCCAATCCCAGCATATATCACCCTAGAAAATGCAACGGTTACCTGTTGACTATTTCAAAAACGATGGAAGGAGGAATGTGAGAAGGAAGAAATGACAATGGCTGTATATGCACGCTTACACCCTGCACACACACACTCATAGTCGTGTGTCAGAAGCTTCTTGCCTACCTGCCTAATGACTTAGGACTCTATGACTTTTGCCCACCCTCCTTTATGGGGGTCTTCCAGTAATGTCAACTTATCCCAAAGCTCTGTGATGAAAACAGCTAAGCCAGAGCCAACTAGCTTTAAAAAACATAGCAAGTCTAGCCTTCAAAAGCCAGAATGTAGAACTCAGAGATGGGCTTCAGAACCACTGTGTCCGGTGGTCAGAGTTTTTTCACACATGACTTTGGCTTTAAACTTTTTACTAAACCATCTCCCTTACTTCTTTTTTCCAGCGTTCTCACTAGTTCCATTCTT